CAAACCTCTATTACACCACCATCCAATCAAAAGAAAAACCAATATACATTCCTAGAAGAAATAATTGAAATAAAAAACCAACAAATAACCATTTACAGAAAACTACCCAAACTAAACGAAATATACACTATTGGAAAAGAAAACTATATCCTTAACCGAATAAAAAACCCACCTTCAAAAGAAACAGTATTTAAAATACGAAAAGCATATACTAGAATAGAACAAGTAATAAGAATGATACAATTACTAGAAATACCACTTCTCAAACAAAAAGAAGGATTAATACTTCAAAATGCATTCAAAACAAAAAATATACCAACTTATTCTTATTTATCAGAGAAATACAAGATCTAGAACTAATAAAGAAAGGACCACAACAATACCTATTTGATAATAGATTCACATCAGATAATAGTGATAACTATCTAGCTCAAGATGCAACACAAAGAGCAAACTATATAAAAGCAAGATTGAACAAATACCAAAGAATTGGAGAAACAACAAATCCAATATATGGAATAGATTACCCATTAAATGAATACTGACCATACAAATAAAAAGATAAAAACTACAGAAAAGTATTCAGAAGAAGAATTACACTATTACTCAGAATTATATTCATTACGAACAACTGAAACATCAATATTATTAGGAGAATATTCAACTAGAATATGATAAATATTTATACCTAAAGTAATATATGACGAATACTATTATATACTAGTCAAAATAAAAATATTACGAACAGCATTTCAAGACCACAATGACTACATTAAAACATTTTATAAAGAATCACATTTAAAAAAACTACTACGACAAATTATTCAATTCTACCGAAGCACATGAAGTAGACATGCTGAATCAATATACATCTAACAATAGATAACTTAGAAGAATCTGAAAAAGTTATTCTTATTACCCAAAAAATAACTGAACTACAACAAAAAGTATTAAAAACTAAATCAAACTTTGAAACAACATCTGAAGAAAAAGAAAGATATAAAATAAACCGATTAGAAGAAATATTATTAAATGAACTTAGTAATATATTCTATAACCTATTACTGAAAAAATTAGCTAAAGAAAAACTATCTGGACCTGAAAATATATATATCTGGATAACTATAAATGATTGCGAATATCAAGGATATAATAACTGACTAATAG